CACCCCCAACTCTTTCCCCACCAGGCTTGGATAAGATTGAATTTCTGCAGAGCCACGAGAACCAGGAGATCTATCAGAAGGCCTTTGACCTGATCGAGCACTACTTTGGAGTAGAGGATGATGATGCCACCCTGGCTCCCCAGGTAGACGAGAACCAGCAGCAATTCATCTTCCAGCAACCTGAGGCCCCCATGGAAGGCTTCCAGCTATAATGTGACCAGAGAGGAAAAGAACACCACAAACTTGCCAGAAAGCAACTGGGAGAAGCCAGATAGTCCCATCCCCCCTCCTTGCAAACAGAAGGAGCAAACACCCATTCCACCTGTTAGGAATCGAGTCCTCCTCCTTCAGAAAAAGCTAGAAGCAATGCTTTGTTTTCATGGAGAGAAGAGGATTTTTCTTACACTTTTTTTCTTTCTTTTTTTATTTTTGCTGCTGCATACATGTCTTTAAGCAGGCACTGGGATGGAGGAAGGACACTGAGGTAACTGATGGCACCTCTCATTTTTCTTTGTGGTAATCTCCCAAACATCACTTTTTTTTTACCTCTGGTACTTAAACGAAATTTCAGCAGGGACGGGGTGGGGGTGTAGGTAAAAAGTGAAATCAGAAGTAAGCATTTTCTTCTGACAACATTAACCCTGGACGCTTGGGATGATCTATTTAAATTTTTTTTGCACATATTACTCTTTATTAAAGACTCTCTAATCTGCCAAGAGCAAAGTTTAGTCCCTGGCCTTTTCATGACCCTCCTTCAGTGGACAGCACCGTTGGACTTGGGCCCTGTAAATGGACAAAGGAAAAATGGGAGGTTTCTCCCCGTTGCTGGGAAGACTTTTCTCGGGGAAGGATTTTTCCCTTTTGTTGTCTAAAATTTTTTTTTTTTTCTTTTTTTTTTTTAAAGAACTGTTAGTGATATTTAAAGAAAAAGCAACAAAACCCCAAAGATGGTCTTTGTAAAGAGGTGGGGGAGCTGTCTGGGTGGTCTCTCTTTTTTTTTTTTTTTCCTTTTGAAAGAGGAAGCACAGCTGCCATTGCACAGGCTTCACTTGCATTGCTACTGATTGAAGTCGCAGAACTGAAATGGTGAAAACCCGTCTTCATCCTTACTTGAAATTTGTTTTTTGGGTTTTTTTTTTTTTTTCATGAGAACATGTTAAAAGGTTTTTTGGCTTTTCTTTTGGCTGGATGGGGTGGGGCGGGACCTTTTGTGGGGTGGGGAGGAAGAGCTACACTTGACAGCATTGTGTGCAGTGTTAACTTCAGTAACATAAGACCTGAGTTTTCAGGATTACCTCCTGCTCACAGTTGGATCATGTACATTTTACTTCAAAAAGAAGAGTCAAATCTCTGTATTTTTTATATATTATATATAGGTAGATATTTGTCTAATTGGGCTTCAGAGAAAAAATATATATGAAATTTCTGTAATTTATGTAAATAGGATACTGTGAGGCAGGCATACCTGGAAATGATGGTCTGTAAACTCACTCGCTGGTTGTCCTGCTTCTTTTCCTCTGTTCACTCATGTACTGTATAAGCAAACATAGAGTTGTCTTAAATTCCTCAACCAGACTGAGTTTACTTAACCAAGATTTGGTATCACATGTCATGTAGGCTGTGGAGAATACAAACACTTCTGAGACTGGAGGGATGGGGGCGTGGGGAGAAACATGGTCCCCTGAAGTGTCTTAATACAGACGTACAGTGCAGACCCTCCCTATTGCTGTCTTAAGCAAATGCAAGCTTTGAAGCCTTTGAGAATGGAAATTCAAGTGGGTGAAAGACGAGCCTTGGTGCCAGTAATTCAAAATCCAAACAAATCTAATTTGACAAGTCCTTCATTGTTTGAAAACAAATAAACTACATCTGTGCATTTGACTGAGGCCTGGCTGTGGCTAGAGTGATATCTAATGTGTAAAGGTTTTACCACTTGCTACAGGACAGGTTTGGAGACAGGGTATTAATATTAAGTGTAGCATGGTGGAGAATCTTAGCCATAGAGTACTGGTGCTGTGCTATTGCAGTCAATCTCTCTAGAAAATTAGTAAGGAGTGCAGGCTCCTGGGAAGCACAGTGATGTTAGAAGCTCTGTTTGGAAAAACATGAGGCCAAATCTTGTATTTAAAAATGCATATGGCTAGGGCTCATCAGGGTCCCTATGCTAGCCATTTGGCTTGTTTACATACCTCCCGTTGCCAATGCGAATCTCCTCCCATTGAGCAAAGTGGAGAGAAATCCAGGTAACCAGCCTTTAAAGGCTGGTTTTTGCCGCCACTGAGAGGACTCGTTAATTGAAGCTTTTATGAAAAGAAGATTCATTGTGTAATTCAGTGTTACTAGGTATTGAAGTAGCTTTTTATAGAAGGGAGCACATTAATTACACTTTTTTTTCTTTAATGGAGGCACTTGACATTGCAATTGATGGAAGAGAGAGAAGCAGGAAAGAGCTGAATTTATATCCAAATTCAAGTCTTAAGTAGAAAACTAGACCACAGACTTCATCAGCATGTTGGCAGACTACTCCTGGAATCTTATACAGCAATGTGGTGTTGGCATCATCCTAACTGCAATTGTGTCATCTTTCCTCTCATTCAGGGAAACGGGGTTTTGCCTGCCTAAATGAAACTAAAGAACCTGGATGCTTTTTGACAGGGGGGAGAAGTTTTTGTTCTCATGTACAAGGTAGTCTTGGAGAGAACCCCCCCCCCCCCTCCAGCTGGCTGTGGCAAAAGGGCATGTTGTTCAGGCTACTTTTAAACTGTGCAGGTAGCTTAGCCTGATCTGATCCCATACAGTCAAGTGGTGTATCGGTAGACATTACCAGCTGTTGAATGGGTTTCACTCTTCTGGTGATGGTCTTCAGCAGAACAACACTCATGTTTCCAGTTCTGTTGGCGGTTGTCTGGGTGAATTTTGATAAATGCTTCTTTCTCTCATGTGGGATTGAACAGTTCTCTGGCCAATGAAACCTTTTTCAGCTGGAGACCGACATGTTCAGTTGCATTTCCCCCCTTCTAGTCTCTGGACTAGTCTAATCCCGTCGGCCAAGGAAATAGAACAACTGTCCTTGGTTTTGAAACAGTCTCTCTGATTTCCTTCTGTTCTGCATCCTGGTTGCATGCATGCATGTATATGCAGTCCCTCATCAGGTTTTGAGATGCGATACCTGCCACCAGGCAGACTTCAGTGGGTGGCTGACAGCTGACTGCTGAACCCTGCTCAGTGAGCAGGTGTGCCTCGAATCGGTTCTCCAGAGTCTCCTCATCCGGCAAATGAAAGCCAGCAATTTATCCTTTCCCCCGATTTGGGTTCTGTGTGGAAACCTTACAGAGAAAATTTGAAAAGCCACTGAGCACAGTGGTCCATGGTCCAGTTCATTTACCTGATGACAGAGACATCTTGAAGCTGCTGTTACATCTGTCTGCTCTTTGGCATGGCAAATTGACCGCAGTGCTACATTAGATCTGCGGTGAAAGGAGCATATCTTTCTAAGATGGGAATCTGATCCTTTTGTTTTTCTGTTGAGATGCAGGTGAAACCAATGAAGTAACCTTTTGAGTTACCTACAGTAACTTTATTTTCCTGATGTAATGCACTTTTGAGGACGGGCGTTAGTTGCATTAGGCTGACCTCAGCCATTTAAAAACGGGGCTCTTCTGCAGTTCTGTTCACTGCAGTATGAAGGTGCATTTACATCTTTATTGCACAATCATCTTTTTTTTTTTTTTTTTAAATGGGAGACTTGTTTCAGGGCAGAGATCGAGGTGATTCTACGGTACCTCACTTCAGAAAAACAAAGCTGTGGCAGCCACTGCAGAGGTAAGCATGGATTTTTGTTTCAGCTAGCTCTGTTGCCTTGCTGCTGGGAGTAGCTTGCTTCCTCCTTGACAGCAGGCGTCGTTCCTGTTCAGTGCAGTGCCTCGTTGACTCTTTAAGCTTTCCCTTAGCAACAGAGAGTCCAGGCCTCCTGTTGCAGCATTGTTTTTTTTCTGGAACTGATATGGCAGCTTGTATAGAAATGAGCAAACAGTTGGTTTAAAAAAAAAAAAAGGCACCAAGTAGCCCCATCTCCCACCCTTCTTGCCTTCTCCCCACAAGGCAGGATTAACCCTGATGAAAATTTGCTAGCGCCTGTCTTTGCTGCTCCTTGACTACCTGGCAGGCTTGCTATTGTGTCCCAGCACCACTGTCTTTTCCTTTCTGGCAACCAGGCTTCCATCTCTGGTGGCCAATACAGATGTTATAAATGATGCATCTGTTGCCACCTGGCAATCTTCTCTTCTTTCAGCTAAACTTGGGAGAAGGGCATCACCTTTTTTGCTTTCTTGTGAATTGCAACTCTGGACTTGGGGCTGGGGAACAGGCTTGGCTTTGGGAAAGCTGTTCCTTGTGGAGTGCAGGAGAACCTGACCTGCATAGCAACCTTTGTTGGTTCTTGGCATCACTTTAGGTGAGCCTTCCCCAGGCCCCAAGGTCCCTGTTTGGGGGTGTGCCATTTGATAGAGATATGTATATTTTTTTAACATTCACTTTTTCCTGTGTTCAAACTACTTCAGTTTCTTTTCCTTGGCTCACACAAGTGCCATGTGGATCTAGAAGAGGTGTTGAGGCTCAGCCATACATCTTACGGATCTGCTTTGAACAATCACTTTTATCAGTATTTCACTGCCATGCAATGGTGGCACTTAACTATGCTAACACATTCAGTTGACCTCAATGCTACTTGGGTGCTGTCAGCAACCTGAGCATCTTAAATCCTCTATTTCTACTGGCTTTTTTAGTTTCCAATATATATCCTCTGGGGCTGCTAGCCTGTAGTTGCTTGCTGGCACTTTCCAGGCTGTCTTGCCCCTACATAGACCATGATGCTCAATCCTGTAACTTTTTCAGGTAAATATATATGGTACCCAGTGGATGCTTGATATCAAGTCTGGTTTCATCATTCAGCTAGCAAAGGGACTTTTGACCACTGGGGCTGGTGAGGTTGTCTTTTTTTTTTTTTTTTTTTT